CTTTAAAGGTATTTTATCCGTCATATTTTTTTAAATTTTTTTTATCTCTCCAATAGTTGCAAAAGTGCTCAGCTAGTATTAGAAACTGTCAAAATATCTTTTGTTGGTGGAAGACTTCCTTCAGGACATATTGAAAAATCTGTTGACTTTTCTGAAGTTTTTTTTTTTATCGATGGAGAAATTCTCTAAATGTTTTCCATCTTTAGGAAACCACTCTTTAATTTTTCTCCATGAGACTTCCTTCCACTGGAGACCAGCAAAATTTTTCTAATTTTTTAAGTCTTGAAGAATTATAAAATAGAGGTCCCTTAAGGACCTTTATAGGTATTTTATCATTCAAAATTTTTAAATTAATTTATATCACTCCAATAGTAGCAAAATAGCTCAGCTAGCAGGAGAAACTGTCAAACAACCTTTTCTTAAGAGAAGACTTCCTTCAGGACATATCGAAAAATCTGTTGACAATTAAGGACTTTTCCGAAGGTTTTTTTATCGATGGAAAAATTCTCCCAATGTCTTCTATCTTTAGGGAACCACTCTTGGATTTTTCTCCATTAGACTTCCTTTTACAGAAGACCTGTAAACTTTTTTTTTAAGTTTTAAAGTCCTGACGAATTATTAAATTATGGATCCTTAAGGACCTTTATAGGCATTTTATCTTAAAAAAAAAATTACAATATTTCCTACTTTTCAAAGCCCTTGTTTTAATGGAAGACTTTCTTAAAGCTGTACAAAGCATTTCGAGACGTCCTGCGACCATAAAGGACATTTTGAAAGGTATTAAATTCATCAAAAATGATTTTTACAAATGTAAAATCTATCTTAAAGTCTTGCATCGTTTTTGCTTGTATAGAAGACCAGTACAAAATTTGCTAATTTTTAAAGTCCTCACGAATTATCCCTTAAGGTCCCCTAAGTACCTTTTTAGATATTCTTTCATTCAAAACTCTTAAAATATTTCCAATCTCCACAATTAATTAATGGGAGACTTCCTTAAAGATTGTATAGCCCCCCTGGGCGAGAGGTTCTGCAACATTAAAGGATATCCTGAAAGATATTTATTTCATTCCCAAAGAACTTTCATCGATGAATCTATCTTAAGGTCTTCAATCTTTAGGCAATTTTTCTGCATGTACAGAAGACCAGTACATTTTTTTTATTTTTGAAGTCCTCAAGAATTATCCCTTAAGAACCCTTAAGGATCTTTAATGATATTCCCTCATACAAAATTCGTAATATATTTTCAATCTCTCCAAATATTTAATGGGAGAATTCCTTAGAGTTTGTTTAGCCACCAGGGCATTTCGAGAGGTTCTGCAACATTAAAGGATATCCTGAAAGATATTTAATTCATTTCCAAAGGGAACTTCTCTTTAATTTTTCTGCATGTACATTAAACCTGTACAATTTTTTTGAAGTCCTCAAGAATTATCCTTTAAAGACCCTTAAGGATCTTTCACACACAATTTTTTTATTATTTTCTATCTCTCCAATAGTAGCAAAATAGCTCAGCTAGCAGGAGAAACTGTCAAACAACCTTTTCTTAAGAGAAGACTTCCTTCAGGACATAACTAAAATCTGTTGATAATTAAGGACTTTTCTAAAGGTTTTTGATCATGGAAAAATTCTCTGAAGGTCTTCTATCTTTACGGAACCATTCTTTAATTTTTCTCCATTAGACTTCCTTTTACAGAAGACCTGTACAATTTGTTTCTAATTTTTAAAGTTCTGATGAATTATAAAATAAAGGACCCTTAAGGACCTTTATCACTCAATTTTTTTTTTTTAATTAATTTCTATCTCTCCAATAGTTGCAAAAGTGCTCAGCTAGTATTAGAAACTGTCAAAAGATCTTTTGTCGATGGAAGACTTACCTTCAGGACATATCGAAAAATCTGTTGACAATTAAGGAAATTTTTAAAGATTTTTTATCGATGGAAAAATTCTCTCAAGATCTTCTATCTTTAGGGAACCACTCTTTAATTTTTCTCCATGAGATTTCCTTTTACAGAAGACCTGTACAATTTTTTTCTAATATTTAAAGTCCTGACGAATCATAAAAGAGAGGACCTTAAGGACCTTCATGGGTATTTTATCATTCAAAATTTTTAAATTAATTTATATCACTCCAATAGTAGCAAAATAGCTCAGCTAGCAGGAGAAACTGTCAAGCAACCTTTTGTTGATAGGAGACTTCCTTCAGGATATCTCGGAAAAACTATTAACAATTAAGGACATTTCCATAGATTTTTTATAGATGGAGAAATTCTCTCAAGGTCTTCTATCTTTAGGGAACCACTATTTAATTTTTCTCCATGATACCTCCTTTTACAGAAGACCAGTACATGTTTTTCTAATTTTTAAAGTCCTCAAGAATTATAAAAATAAAGGACATTTAAGGACCTTTATAGGCATTTTATCATTTAAAAATATTACAATATTTTCTATCTCTCAAAAACCTTTTTTTTAATGGAAGATTTTCTTAAATCTGTATAGCCGTCTTTGCTTTTCGAGAAGTCCTCTGACCGTAAAGGACATCCTTAAAGGTATTTAATTCATTCCCAAAGAGATTTTATCGATGTATCTATCTCTTCTGTCTTTAGGGAACTTCTTTTTATATTTTTCAGCATATACAAAAGACCAGTACAAAAATTTGCTAATTTTCAAGAAATATCCTTTGAGGACCCTTAGAGACCTTTAAAGATATTCTTTCATAGAAAATTTTTAAAATATTAATTAACGTTTGTAGAGGCCTCTGGGCATTTCGAGAGGGTCAGCAACATTAAAGGATATCCTGAGAGATATTTAATTCATTCCCAAAGCACTTTTATCGATGTAAAATCAATCTTAAGGTCTTCTAGCTTTAGGGAACTTCTCTTTAATTTTTCAGCATGTACAGAAGACCAGTACAAAATTTGCTAATTTTTAAATTCCTCACGAATTATCCTTTAAGAACCCTTAAGGATCTTTAATGACATACTTTCATTCAAAATTCGTAATATATTTTCAATCTCACCAAATAATTGATGGGAGAATCCCTTAAAGTTTGTATAGCCCTTTGGACATTTCGAGAGGTTCTGCAACATTAAAGGATATCCTCAAAGGTATTTAATTCATTCCCAACGGACTTTTAGGGATGTAAAATCAATATTAAAATCAATAAGAAGACCAGTACATTTTTTATTTTTGAAGTCCTCAAGAATTATCCTTTAAGGACCCTTAAGGATCTTTAAAGATATTCGTTCATTCAAAATTTTTAAAATATTTTCAATCCATCCAAATAAAGTTTGTATAGGCCTCTGGGCATTTCGAGAGGTTCTGCAACATTAAAGGATATCCTGAAAGAAATTTAATTCATTCCCAATGGACTTTTATGGATGTAAAATCAATCTTAAGGTCCTCTATCTTTAGGGAACTTCTCTTTAATTGTTCAGCATGTACAGAAGACCAGTACATTTCTTTTATTTTTGAAGTCCTCAAGAATTATCCTTTAAGGACCCTTAAGGATCTTTAATGATATTCCCTCATACAAAATTCGTAATATATTTTCAATCTCTCCAAATATTTAATGGGAGAATTCCTTAGTGTTTGTATAGGCCTCTGGGCATTTCGAAAGGTTCTGCAACATTAAAGGATATCCTGAAAGATATTTAATTCATTTCCAAGAGGAACTTCTCTTTAATTTTTCTGCATGTACAGTAGACCAGTGCAATTTTTTTGAAGTCATCAAGAATTATCCTTGAAGGACCTTAAGGATCTTTAAAGTTATTCTTTCACACACAATTTTTAGTTTATTTTCAATCTCCCCAATTAATTAATGGGAGACTTCCTTAAAGTTTGTATAGACCTCTGGGCATTTCGAGAGGTTCTGCAACATTAAAGGACATCCTGAAAGGTATTTAATTCGTCTCCAAAGGATGTAAAAACTAACTTAAGGACTTCTGTTTTTGGGGAACTTCTCATCATTTTTTCTGCATGTAAAGAAGCCATTTTTTTATTTTTTAAGACCTCAAGAAATATCCATTGAGGACTCTTAAGGAACTTTAAAGATATTCTTTCATTAAAAAATTTAAAACTATTTTCAATCTCTCCAAATAGTTAATGGGAGAATTCCTTAAAGTTTGTATAGCCCCCAGGGCATTTCGAGAGGTTCTGCAACATTACAGGATATCCTGAACTGGGATCTTCTCTTCTGGGAATCGGGAACTTCTCTTTAATTTTTCAGCATGTGCAGAAGTCCAGTACATTTTTTTGAAGTCCTCAAGAATTATCCTTTAAGGATCCTTAAGGATATATAAAGCCAAACCATACCAAATTTTTAAATTAATTTCTATCTCTCCAAATAGTGGCAAAGCTCATTTGTTAACGGAAGACTTCCTAAAGGATTGTGTAACCGTTTAGGTATTTCAGGAGGTCTTGCTGGCATAAAGGACATCTTAGAAGGTATTTTATCCAAGAAAAATCAATCCCAAGGTCTTCCCCCTTTTGGCACTTCTCTTTTTTTCTTCCTCTAGGAATTTTCTATGTTTCAAGGATCTATAAAGGCTTTATTATGGATAAGCCCCCCTATGGTGTTCTACCTTTAGGGAAACTCTCTTTAACTTTTCTCCATGGGACTACCATTTACAGAAGATCGGCACAATATTTTTCTAATTTCTCAAGAATTATCCCTTAAGAGTTCTTTAAGGAGCTTTTTGGTACTTATCCTTTATTCTTCTCCAGGGATTTCCTATTTGTTGAAGACCTGTGAAAGATTTTTTTTTAAGTTTTAAGGACCTAGGAAGGCTTTAAAAAATTTTTCTTTCATTCAAGATTTTAAAAATCTCATCTTTAAATTTTCTTCCTAGAAATTGTTGTTTTTGTCATATCTCCTCGAATTGTTATCCCTTTTACTTCCTTCCCAGCCATAAAAGTATTTCATTGTTCCATCAATTTATTTTCTTTTTCCTTCTCCTTCCATTCTAATTAAATTGTTTTTATTCTCTTTTGTTTATTTACAGCTAAAAACTAGCAATGTCCGCGCTGTGAAATGCTAGACAGGGACGAAAATAAAGCAGATAAAGGCACTTTTCAACAAGTCCCAAGACAGAGCAGGGTGGTGGACTAGCAGCTATCAGTTCAAGCCGGCAGGACATATTCCTCGAGAGTATTTAAGCAAATGACCCAAAACAATTAGAAGCTTAAACAATTAAAAAAGGAGGACGAAACTAGCAAACGATAAACGCGAAGCAGAGCAGAGGCTGGCAAACCCCAAATGTCACAACAAAACTAAGCCATTTAAAGCTGTGAGTTAAGCAATGGGATGGGATGGAGCATAACAATCCAGGCACAAAACTATGAGCAATGAAGGCTAACCAGCACAACAAAAACACAAACAAACTCCAATAAAAAAGGATATTTTGGAGGATACAAAACAACAATAGCACAACAAAAAAACTGTAAAGCTCAAAACAAAAAACCCAACTAACAAAGAACTTGCCAGACAAAGAAAAAAAGAGAGAAAAGAGGAAAAGTAACAAATCAACATTCATAAAAGTAAGGCAGACAAGTAAACGGAAATTCGCGCAAAGGCGTCCAACAAAAAAAATCTTCCAAAAAAAACGAGGACAATAGAAAGGCAGCCAGGATATTTCCTTTGAACACTTGAAAAGTGACATATCCTTTGTTGTCACAAAACGAAGAGAACCCGAAGCAAGGAAGGAGAGGACCTCCACAAAAGCCCCACATGCAATTCAAGCTGCCAAATGTAATTAAACTACACTCAAGCACAAAAGTATGACACAAATATAGCATAGCCGGTAACAAAGACCTAGTTTCGTTTAAGCGCGAGGAAGAAGAAGAAGAAACCGCTTCCATAGCAGCCTTAGCTTAGAACGAAAAACAAAAACAAACCTCAAGAGCATTTGTTAATTGCCATTGTTTACAGACCATTTCCTCCCGCACTTGTTCCACTTTTTTCTCTCTTACTCTCACCCCACTCTCTTCTTCGACGAAAACAACGAAAATGGCTTTTATATGGCGACGACGTTCCACTTCAATTGTGAAAATAATTGCCATTTTGATGGCCATTTGGTTTTTCGTTGCATTCTTCATTTACACCGATGATGCACGCCGTGATCCGGCGGCCACAAACAAATGGAATGCCATGAATCTGCCGTGGCAGCGTTTCGGTGGTGCTGCAGCCGGCAATGGAGCAGCAGCCATTGTTGCCGGTTCCGGTTTGGCCAACAATCAAGTGGACACCTATGAACGTGAGGCCGGAGCCTTTGAGGCCGGTGGTGGTTTTGGTGTTGCCAACAATCCTGGTGTGGCTGGTGGAGGTGGCGCCAATGATGATGATGATGGCGTTGCAGCAGCCGATGTACCCATCGCCCAGCCGGATGAAGCAAACAACAATAATAACGGCGATTTAATGGCCGGTGGCGGCCTGGACGATAATGCCGATATCAATGAAGGCGATGAGTCCATCTTGAATAATGTCATTGTCCAGCATCCTAATGACAGAGTTTATCATGGCAAATTAATTGCCGGCGCTGAGAGAGGAAATCCCAACGATGAAGGTAAGTGAGAGAAATGAGGAATTATTAATGAATAACAAATGTTTGAAAGAGAGAGAAATTTAAAAAAGAAGATACCTTCCTTAGGAGGTATAAGAAAACATTAGGGTCTTTTATGAGAATACCTTCGGGTCATCTATGAGAAGACCTTCTAGTTTTCCTTAGAGAAGTCCTTTTGGTCTTCTATAAAAAGATCCTCTTCTGGTCTTCTATGAGAAGACCTCCTAGCCTTCTATGAGAAGACCTTCTTGCCTTCTATGAGAAGACCTTCCGGCCTTCTATGAGAAGACCTTCCGGCCTTCTATGAGAAGACCTTCCGGCCTTCTATGAGAAGACCTTCCGGCCTTCTATGAGAAGACCTTCCGGCCTTCTATGAGAAGACCTTCCGGCCTTCTATGAGAAGACCTTCCGGCCTTCTATGAGAAGACCTTCCGGCCTTCTATGAGAAGACCTCTTGGACTTCTATAAGAAGACCTCTTGGTCTTCTATAAGAAGACCTCCTGGTCTTCTATGAGAAGACATCCTGGCCTTCTATGAGAAGACCTCCTGGCCTTCTATGAGAAGACCTCCTGGCCTTCTATGAGAAGACCTCCTGGCCTTCTATGAGAAGACCTGCTGGCTTCTATGAGAAGACCTGCTGGCCTTCTATGAGAAGACCTGCTGGCCTTCTATGAGAAGACCTGCTGGCCTTCTATGAGAAGACCTGCTGGCCTTCTATGAGAAACCTGCTGGCCTTCTATGAGAAGACCTGCTGGCCTTCTATGAGAAGACCTGCTGGCCTTCTATGAGAAGACCTGCTGGCCTTCTATGAGAAGACCTGCTGGCCTTCTATGAGAAGACCTGCTGGCCTTCTATGAGAAGACCTGCTGGCCTTCTATGAGAAGACCTGCTGGCCTTCTATGAGAAGACCTGCTGGCCTTCTATGAGAAGACCTGCTGGCCTTCTATGAGATGACCTGCTGGCCTTCTATGAGATGACCTGCTGGCATTCTATGAGAAGACCTGCTGGCCTTCTATGAGAAGACCTCCTGGCCTTCTATGAGAAGACCTCCTGGCCTTCTATGAGAAAACCTCCTGGCCTTCTATGAGAAGACCTCCTGGCCTTCTATGAGAAGACCTCCTGGCCTTCTATGAGAAGACCTCCTGGCCTTCTATGAGAAGACCTGCTGGCCTTCTATGAGAAGACCTCCTGGCCTTCTATGAGAAGACCTCCTGGCCTTCTATGAGAAGACCTGCTGGCCTTCTATGAGAAGACCTGCTGGCCTTCTATGAGAAGACCTGCTGGCCTTCTATGAGAAGACCTGCTGGCCTTCTATGAGAAGACCTCCTGGCCTTCTATGAGAAGACCTGCTGGCCTTCTATGAGAAGACCTCCTGGCCTTCTATGAGAAGACCTGCTGGCCTTCAATGAGAAGACCTGCTGGCCTTCTATGAGAAGACCTCCTGGCCTTCTATGAGAAGACCTGCTGGCCTTCTATGAGAAGACCTCCTGCCCTTCTATGAGAAGACGTGCTGGCCTTCTATGAGAAGACCTGCTGGCCTTCTATGAGAACACCTGCTGGCCTTCTATGAGAAGACCTGCTGGCCTTCTATGAGAAGACCTCCTGCCCTTCTATGAGAAGACCTCCTGCCCTTCTATGAGAAGACCTGCTGCCCTTCTATGAGAAGACCTGCTGGCCTTCTATGAGAAGACCTGCTGGCCTTCTATGAGAAGACCTCCTAGCCTTCTATGAGAAGACCTCCTGGCCTTCTATGAGAAGACCTCCTGGCCTTCTATGAGAAGACCTCCTGGCCTTCTATGAGAAGACCTCCTGGCTTTCTATGAGAAGACCTCCTGGCCTTCTATGAGAAGACCTCCTGGCCTTCTATGAGAAGACCTCCTGGCCTTCTATGAGAAGACCTCCTGGCCTTCTATGAGAAGACCTCCTGGTCTTCTATGAGAAGACCTCCTGGCCTTCTATGAGAAGACCTCCTGGCCTCTATGAGAAGACCTCCTGGCCTCTATGAGAAGACCTACTGGTCTTCTATGAAAAGACCTACAGGTCTTCAATAAAAAAAAAACATCCTGGGGTTCTATGAGAAAACCTCCTGATCTTCTATCAGAAGACCTTCCAGTCTTCTATGAGAAGACCTTCTCCAGGTCTTCTATGAGAAAACCTTCTTTTTCTCTTTTATGAGAAGAACCCCTGGTCTTCTATGAGAATACTTTCTTCAGGTCTTCTTTGGGAAGATCTGCTTCTAGAAATCTTCTTCTTGTCTTCTATGAGAAAAACCCCTGGTTTTCTATGAGAGAACTTCTTTCAGGTTTTCTATGAGAAGATCTGCTTCTGATATTCTCTATAAGAGGACCCTCTGGTCTTCTATAAGGAGACCTTCGGGTCTTTTCCATGAGAAAACCTTCGGGTCTTCATGAGAAAACTATGAGAAGACGTTGTTCTGGTCTTCTATGAGAATATGTTCTTTTGGTCCTCTATGAAAAGACCTTCTCCTTGTTTTCTCTCTTAGAATACCATCAGGTTTTCTCTGTAAGAAGACATTTTTCTGGTCTTCTCTATAAGAAGACCTTAGGGTCTTTTTGAGAATGCTATGAGATGACTTTTTTCCTTTTTCAGGTCTTCTATAAGAAGACCACCTGGTCTTCTATGAGAAGAGCTTCTGCTGGTCTTCTATGAAAAGACCTGCTATTGGTCTTCTAAGAAAAGACCTGCTTCTATGAAAAGACCTATAAGCATATGTCTAGCTATATCTTATTTCTCAGTCCCTTCTACCAGAATGAACTTATTTTTTTATAAAAATTGTAAACAAATTAAATTCTCCATCTGACGTTGACCATTAATATTGTGGGAGCAATGACAGAACACCCTCAATAATTCAGCTATGAATAAATATTTCGCCAGAACAATCAGCTGCAACATCAACAACCTAAAATGACTAACCACCAGACTTTTGGCGAAAATCGCAGCCAGCATTTGTCTGGGGCTCACATCATGACTCCTTTGTACTCCAACTCGCAAATATTTGTTCGGGCTAACACTTCACTGAAATCGACAACTTGTCCAATGTCATCAGATTTGGGGTGTGTGTATTTATTGGTGGTGTTGTTGTAGGCACATGACAAACAACAAAAACATCCAAGTTGTATGAGCCATTGTACAAGCTTGCTGCATGACATGGCAACGCCAGTGCCAACATAGTTGGGTCGTTGCAACTACTCCACACCACACCACACCGCACCACAACACACGCCTGACATATGATTTATGAGTATTTACTGTAATGTGAAACATTCAGCCGCAATAGATCGACAGTTAAGCTCAGCAAAGCAAATGACCAAGCCCGCCATCTAGGCAGGCAGCCTGCATTGTTTCCACTTCGAACATTTATCATTTGAAAATATTCAACGAAAATGCTGAATGAAATGTTTGGTATGCCAAGTAAACCGTTGTTGCCACCAACTTTGCTTGGAAATCGTGATTTCTTGCTGTTGCCGCTGCTTTAAACTGGGTTAAAAGACTCCGGTTACAAACAGCGCCGCCAAAACGACAATGTTGCCACCATCACCAGTACAACCAGCACCACCATTCTCTGAGAAGACCTCCTGTCCTTCTATGAGAAGACCTCCTGGCCTTCTATGAGAAGACCTCCTGGCCTTCTATGAAAAGTCCTACTGGTCTTCTATCAGAAGACCTCCTGGCCTTCTATGAGAAGACCTCCTGGCCTTCTATGAGAAGACCTCCTGGCCTTCTATGAGAAGACCTCCTGGACTTCTGTGAGAAGACCTCCTGGTCTTCTATGAGAAGACCTCCTGGACTTCTGTGAGAAGACCTCCTGGTCTTCTATGAGAAGACCTCCTGGACTTCTGTGAGAAGACCTCCTGGACTTCTGTGAGAAGACCTCCTGGTCTTCTATGAGAAGACCTCCTGGTCTTCTATGAGAAGACCTCCTGGACTTCTGTGAGAAGACCTCCTGGACTTCTGTGAGAAGACCTCCTGGTCTTCTATGAGAAGACCTCCTGGTCTTCTTTGAGAAGACCTCCTCTTCTTTGAGAAGACCAACGAAAATGCTGAATGAAATGTTTGGTATGCCAAGTAAACCGTTGTTGCCACCAACTTTGCTTGGAAATCGTGATTTCTTGCTGTTGCCGCTGCTTTAAACTGGGTTAAAAGACTCCGGTTACAAACAGCGCCGCCAAAACGACAATGTTGCCACCATCACCAGTACAACCAGCACCACCATTCCTCAGCCAGCCACAACATCTCAGCCTGGGCCATTTTTACTGTGGCAATTATTTTTTCCTACCTGGCATTTATGTTGGCCGTAGTGAGTGAAGTTGTTGTTGGTAGGTTGTTTGGTTTGGTTTGGTTTGACGGTCGGTAGCTGGTGTTACTTTGCCATTAGGTTTTCCTCTGACCGGCCAGCCAGCCTGCCAGCCAGCAATGGTGGTTTTTCTTTTTATTAACGAATAATTTATAAAGTCATATAATTTACTTTACAAAAACAACAACCGACTTAGCCTTCGAGCAAAAACATCTGTCCATGGCCCAGACAAAACAAAAGAAGAAAATTACTTAATTAGTTTTGAAAATGCTTGGCGTTTTACCGGATTTGAGTTTTCCAATGGTGGCTTTGATCTTGACATTGACTCTGGGAAAACTATTAATTTTCTATTGTTGTCGGTGTCAGGGGTTTTTATTATCGATGTTTGGGACAGGTTTGTTTAATTGGTCTATTTTGTGGTGGTGAGAGAGCTAAGGATGGCAGGAGGTGGGGGTGAGTTTAGTGTAATTAATTAATAAAGTCTTTATAATCTGTAGTAGACAAATGCACCCTTACAACGGCATCTCCTAATTTTAAGGTCCATATAGAAACGTGGATTTTTTACAAATATTTTTCCACAGACCATCTATAAACGTGGATTTTTTAAAAATATTTTTTGAAGAGGCATTTATTAACGTGGATTTTTTAAAAATATTTTTTGAAGAGCCATTTATAAACGTGGATTTTT